CTGCAATTGCATATAGGGTCGAATAGAGGGGGATTGTCAGCCTCCAACCAAAAAGCAGGCGAATGCAGTTGAGTAACGCAAGGATGAGGTTGGGTTGAGATCGAAGGACAGGCCTAGATTACACGAGTGTAGGCAATAGCAGGCGAGTAATAGGATTGTCAGGTGAGAGGTGTGTATGAGAATGGAGTATACGGCTGGAATACACAAGGCATGGAATCAAGAGCATGTGAGTGACGCAAGTATGAGGTGACAGTGTGCTACAAGGGTAATGTTTGACTAGACAAGACACAGAGAGGTGACTTGCAGGTGAGGAAATATGACAGGCATGGAATCAACAAGGCACGTAGGCAAGAACAGGTGAATAACGAAGTCATGAGGTGTTAGTTGCAGGTGCGCAAATGCGGCATACCTGGGCATTATGCCACCATGTGCCCGTCTCTGGGGTGGAGTAGCGTCGCTGGCCGGTTTCAGGGTCAGTGTCCATGCGTGGCTTCAGCACAAAGCCGGGTGCATTGGCTGGGTCTCCAAACATGTCCGCCAAGGCCTGCGATTACATGGCGCATAGGGGCGGAACGGAAGAATAGATGAGCAGCAGAGGTCCCGAATAGCAGAGGAGTGGAACAGCAAAGGAGCGGAACAGCAGAGGAGCGGAACAGTAGAGGAGCGGAACAGCAGAGGAGCGGAACAGCAGAGGAGCAGAACAGCAGAGGAGCGGAACAGCAGAGGAGCGGAACAGCAGAGGAGTGGAATAGGAGAGGAGCGGAACAGGAGAGGAGCGGAACAGGAGAGGAGCGGAATAGGAGAGGAGCGGAACATGAGAGGAGCGGAACAGGAGAGGAGCGGAACATGAGAGGAGCGGAACAGGAGAGGAGCGGAACAGGAGAGGAGCGGAACAGAAGAGGAGCAGAACAGGAGAGGAGCGGAACAGGAGAGGAGCGGAACAGGAGAGGAGCGGAACAGGAGAGGAGCGGAACATGAGAGGAGCGGAACATGAGAGGAGCGGAACAGGAGAGGAGCGGAACAGGAGAGGAGCGGAACAGGAGAGGAGCGGAACAGGAGAGGAGCGGAACAGGAGAGGAGCGGAACAGCAGAGGAGTGGAACAGGAGAGGATTGGAACAGCAGGAGATTGGAAATGTAGATGAGCAGAACAGCAGAGGAGCGGAGCAACATCGAGATGGGCATGCAAGGGGGAAGTCACCTGCGCCGGATCTCGGAAAAACAACGTCTGCTCATCAAAGCCATCCACTTCGAAGGTTGCCACGCTCCACCCACGGCCTAGGCCAGCGAGCTCTTCGATTTCGAAGCGCTTGAGCTCCCGGCAGTTTTTGAACTTCGCCAACACCAGCTCCGCGAGCTCTGGATACATCAACAGCTGCAGTATCCCATTAATATCGACTTCCGCCATGCCCATCTTACCATTGGCGAGGCGGACCAGATGGATGAAGCGCAATACTAAAGGATCCGTGGGGAATGGGGCCTGGGACTGTGCAACAACGGAAACCGGAGGTGCTGAAGCATTGCTGGTCGCAGTGTTGTCCTCGCCATTCAGATCTTCGAATGAAAGCGGTTGCGGGTTAGACCCGCAAGCAGAGGTGTCAGAGCTGCTCGCGTCGGATCCAATAGCGGAGGTCGCTGGCTCGTCCGCGTCACTAGGCTCCAGACGTGGCTCGGTATTGGTGTTGGACGGAGGCGGAGCATCCGCCACCATGAAGACATATTGCTCAGCCACCGTTTCAGTTGCAGCAGTTCCAGCGGCATACTTTAAGCGACAGCTGGACCTCCCCTTGTGCTGTCCAAAAGCCTTAGCGTCCTTGAACTGGTTGGTGCAAAACCGGCACGAAATCCACTCATGGCGTGTCATGACTACAGGTGGTGACGAAATCGCTATGTGTCGGACATTAGGCGAGAGGATTGACGATATGACTGGAGTTATGGAGCTTTGTACAAGGCGTTGCCAGTAGTGGTGGATAGATCAGTATGTATTAGAAAAGGTGAAACGAAAACCAGAGGTGACGCGACAGCAGTTTGAACTGGCAAAGTTTTGAATAACGAGCGCAAACGCGATGCCGAGATCTAGGACACGTATCTAATACTAGAGTGTTGTCGAGGTGGAGGCGAAAGGTCGAGGAGCAGTGTAGTGCAGTGAACTTAGTCTAAACATTATCTTGGTATAAATCATGCACAAAACAAATGTCCAAACCAGAAAGGGTACTATATTATTACGAAATGGATTGGAGAACTGTACGCTCAAGCAAAAGATAACCATTCTACAAGAGGGATCAGACCAATCCCAGCTCAGGAATGCCTTGTTGCTTGTATCATTTTTATAACTTGACAGAATTCACCGGTAGTGCTCACTGGTTTTCTGAACAGAGTGTGCTCTTGTTTTCCGATCTGTCTGAAACATGTAGGGATGGTTCAAAGCTATAATATGGTCTCAGGTACCAAAAATCATACCAATCCCACCTCAGGAAGGCCTTGATGCTTGTCTCCGTTTTTCTGCCTGAGTGAATTCACCCCATGTGCTCACTGGTTTTGTGAACAGAGTGTGCTCTGGTTGTCCAATCAGTCTGAGACTTGTAGGGATGGTTCAAAGGTATCATATTGTCTCAGGTTCCAAGAATCATACCAATCCCAGCTCAGGAAGGCCTTGATGCATGTCTCAGTTTTTCTGCCTGAGTGAATTCACCCCATGTGCTCACTGGTTTTGTGAACAGAGTGTGCTCTGGTTGTCCAATCAGTCTGAGACTTGTAGGGATGGTTCAAAGGTATCATACTGTTTCAGGTTCCAAGAATCATACCAATCCCAGCTCAGGAAGGCCTTGATGCATGTCTCTGTTTTTCTGCCTGACAGCTTTTGTGAACATGCCTTGACGCTTGCCTTCACGTCACTGTGTTCCGCTTCTCTGAAAGCTCTGAGATTGGTATGAGGAGCTCATGGCATATGGGGAGAGAGCTGGTTAAGATATCAGGCCCACCCAATCACTCTAGCATTGTAACTCAAGCCGGTGCATCATGTTCAATGCGGCTGTTTTTTCAACCATGACACTTGCCTTGACGCTTGCCTTCACGCCACTGTGTTCCGCTTCTCTGACGGCTCTGAGATTGGTGTGAGGAGCTCATGGCATATGGGGAGAGAGCTGGTTAAGATATCAGGCCCATCCAATCACTCTAGCATTGTAACTCAAGCCGGTGCATCAAGTGCAATGGGGCTGTTTTTTCAACCATGACACTTGCCTTGACGCTTGCCTTCACGCCACTGTGTTCCGCTTCTCTGACGGCTCTGAGATTGGTGTGAGGAGCTCATGGCATATGGGGAGAGAGTTGGTTAAGATATCAGGCCCATCCAATCACTCTAGCATTGTAACTCAAGCCGATGCATCAAATGCAATGGGGCTGTTTTTTTCAACCATGACACTTGCCTTGACGCTTGCCTTCACGCCACTGTGTTCCGCTTCTCTGACGGCTCTGAGATTGGTGTGAGGAGCTCATGACATATGGGGAGAGAGTTGGTTAAGATATCAGGCCCATCCAATCACTCTAGCATTGTAACTCAAGCCGGTGCATCAAATGCAATGGGGCTGTTTTTTCAACCATGACACTTGCCTTGACGCTTGCCTTCACGCCACTGTGTTCCGCTTCTCTGAACGCTCTGAGGTTTGTATGAGGAGCTCATTGCATATGGGGAGTGAGTTGGTTAAGAGATCAGGCCCATCCAATCACGCTTGCATTGTTTATTGGTATATATGATGATGGCCTGTGAAACAACCAAAATTATGTTGACAGCCTGGCACCTTACTTGGTCAAAGAGGCAGCACATGGTTCCATTGATTGTAAACACAAAAGATGGAGATGACACAAACTGTGATGGCGAGAGAATGAGAGGTTGAGTGCTAGAAGCTTCGTTGGTATAGCTTGTTACGGCGGTTCTTGTAAAATTCAGGGAAATAAGCTTTTCTTTACAAAACAATAGAGGAGGACTAGGGGAAATAGTAGAGACACTTGAATGAAGATTTATACCTCAACCAAAGTGTTTATGAGCCCTAAAAGACATCGAAATATGAGCGCGTTAGGAGACATAAACCAATCCCTTGTGCATATTTGTGCATGATTCAGCAGTATTAATGCAATGTATAGCTATGACTATCCTAAAACAAACACACACGTACAATTTCCAACACTTGACCAAATCTGTGGCTTTCAGTATGGCATCTTTGAGAGAGACCTTCTGTAATGTAATCTACATAAGCCTACCATTTTGTACATCTAGATTTAGGGTTGTTACTGATCTTCAAAGCGACCCCCCTATCTACGGCCGTCATCACCGGTCACTGTAGATTTCAGGGACCAATGGAGGCCTTTCCTTTTTTTACAGCGACACTCACCAGAAAGCGAGCCATTAGCAAGAACATGTGCATGCACTTAGGGCGAGTGGCCTTGAGGTCGTAGTTTGGCCAAATTTCGCACTTCTAGAGTGGTTGTGCACGGTCAGATGTATTTAAGAGACGTTTTGCCACGGTAGAACGCGGTAATAGGGTCGACCTTAGACATTTTTTGCCATAAGACATGCGTCCTTACAATCACAAGCGCTGCACGGTTCTTGACTTCGAACCACTTACATCCTACCGCTTGAGAGGGAGTATGCGTCGCGTCGTTTGTGAGAGGAACAGCGTCTCGAGTCGCGACATGACGGACCCCACCAGCAGATGTGCAGCATGGGTGTTTCTCTCTTTTAGTCTTACCGTGCGCACGTCCAGTGCAGGATGTCCAGTGCAACCCTCTTTGGTCGCCTTCGTTTTCTGCAGATGGCTATCGCGCCTCTGTCTGATGCACGTAACTTGCCTTACCACCGATTGTCAACCTTCCGACGGTGCTGTACGTGTCTCTTGTGGCGGCTTCATGTCTCCCACGTCCCTCGTATTCGTCGATCTGCGAGCCGTGGTGGTCGGGATGCTGTCACGCCGGGCACGATACGAGCGTAGCGCACGAATCTTGTTCAATGGCTACTCCGATACCTGGCTACCAAGCGTCGAGGTGCGAAGAGCGGTGCACCATGATCTGTTTATAAGCGATGTTTTGGTTCGAGGTTGTAGTACTTGCTCAAAACTGTGACTACTAACAAACGCCTTCACTTACAGCCCTTTGCATCTCAGTAATGTCGCAGCCAACCATCTCCCAAGGCCGTAAGGGTGAGCAGGCGGGAGAGCAGGCGAACGCAAAAAAAAGGCGGTGGGCGTCGAAAGCGAGGTGGTAAGAAAGCACAATGCGCCACCGAGGAACGGCGCAAGCTCCCAGATGGCTTCACCGCGGACATTCTAGGTGAGAATGACGACGGTACGGAAACGTCCGCCGATCCGAACGGCTATGCGGTCGATAATGTGGCGCATGGTGAACAGGCGGTGTTTGGTGTGGCGAATGATGACGGTTCATATCGCGACGAGACGTATGGCAAGAAGGTGGTTGGTGAAGCGGACAAAGGCGAAGCGGACGGAGGCGAAGCGGACGAAGGGGAGGCGGACGAAGGGGAAGCGGACGAAGGGGAATCGGACGAAGGTGAAGCGGACGAAAGCGAAGCGGACGAAGGCGACGCTGACGAAGGCGAAGCGGACGAAGAGGAAGCGGAAGAAGGCGAAGCGGACGAAGGCGAATCGGACGAAGGCGAAGCGGACGAAGGCGAGGAGGGGGAAGGCGAGGAGGGGGAAGGTGAAGGGGCGGAAGGCGGAGAGGCGGAAGGCGTAGGAGCTGTTGGCGAGGAGGCAGAAGGCGAAGGGGCGGAAGGTGGGGAGTGGGATGGCGAAGAGGGGGAAGGCGAAGAGGGGGGAGGCGAAGAGGGGGAAGGCGAGGAGGGGGAAGGCGAAGAGGGGGAAGGCGAGGAGGTGGAAGGCGAAGAGGGGGAAGGCAATGAGGGGGAAGGCGAAGAGGGGGAAGGCAAAGAGGGGGAAGGCGAAGAGGGGGAAGGCGAAGAGGGGGAAGGCGAAGAGGGGGAAGGCGAAGAGGGGGAAAGCATAGGGGCTGTAGATGGGGCCGGAGAGGAGGTGGAAGGCGAGCAGGTGGAAGGAGAGGAGGCGGATGGGGTCCAGGCAGATGGCGACAATGTGGGCGAAGGCCTGTCCGATTACTCCAATTTTAGTGCAGAGGAGAGAACTAATGGGCGGCGGACACGCGTACAAGCACTCAGCCGCGGGTCGACGCTGGATGAGGATGAAGAAGCTGCACGAGTGGTGAAGAAAGGGCGGTTTATGATTCTGGGGGCCGCACCGGATGATACGCAACAGTGCGGTAATGGGCGTGGCGGAGAAGCAAAGGATAAACAAGGAGGGCAGACCGTGAAAGGGGCATTGGCGGCGGCGAAGCCACCCACGAAGCGCAGGAGTAAGAAGGCTAGCACTAAACCCCTTCCAAAGGGTAAAGGTGAAGCAATGGAGGGGAAGACAAAGACAAAACCTAAGCCCAAAAAGCGTAAGTCATCCACTTTTTGCCCTCCAGCCCTGTAACCCTTCGTTCTGACCCGCCTTGCTTTTTCCCATCCGTCTCTGTCAATACTCCCGTTGTCCCATGAATATTCCCAACTAGCTTCCCTAAACCGTCCTGACTTGTCCCCTCATGCGCTAACCCATCCTGACCTATCCCATCTTGCTCTCACCCTACACCAATCAGCGGTGAAGAATTCTGGTGTGGGTCCGCCAACCACCATCGAGCGATTCAACCTTGGGGGGGGAGGGGGGGAAGCTGCCCCAGCTACAGGTCACCCAGCGGGCAACTACTAGTGCGATGCAAGTGGGAGCAGCAGCAGCTCCTGTGGGTATGACTGTTGCGAGGGTGGGAGGAGCAGCGTCAACAGGAGGGAGGGTGGGAGCAGCAGCAGCATCAACTGGGGTGAGGGTGGGAGCAGCAGCAGCGTCAACGGGAGGGAGGGTGGGAGCAGCAGCAGCATCAACTGGGGTGAGGGTGGGAGGAGCAGCAGCGGCATCTACTGGAGGGAGGGTGGGAGCAGCAGCGGCATCGACTGGAGGGAGGGTGGGAGGAGCAGCGGCATCGACTGGAGGGAGGGTTGGAGGAGCAGCAGCATCGACTGGAGGGAGGGTGGGAGGAGCAGCGGCATCGACTGGAGGGAGGGTGGAGGAGCAGCGGCATCGACTGGAGGGAGGGTAGGAGCAGCAGCGGCATCGACTGGAGGGAGGGTGGGAGGAGCAGCGGCATCGACTGAAGGGAGGGTGGGAGCAGCAGCAGCATCGACTGGAGGGAGGGTGGGAGCAACAGCAGTGTCAACGGGAGGGAGGGTGGGAGCAGCAGCAGCATCAACTGGGGTGAGGGTGGGAGGAGCAGCAGCGGCATCGACTGGAGGGAGGGTGGGAGCAGCAGCGGCATCGACTGGAGGGAGGGTGGGAGGAGCAGCGGCATCGACTGGAGGGAGGGTGGGAGGAGCAGCGGCATCGACTGGAGGGAGGGTGGGAGGAGCAGCGGCATCGACTGGAGGGAGGGTGGGAGGAGCAGCGGCATCGACTGGAGGGAGGGTGGGAGCAGCAGCGGCATCGACTGGAGGGAGGGTGGGAGCAGCAGCAGCATCTACTGGAGTTTTCAGGCCCAGGGGTACCAGTACTGTAAGGACGCTGCCTCCAGGGCCCACGGCTTTGGCTGCCGTATCAACCAGGGTGGCGCAGACGCAGTGGGTATCACGAGCGGAGTTTGCGGCGCTTAGGAAGGAGATACTCCAACAGTTTGAGAGCCTCAGGGCTCAAGGAGTCGCGGTTCCTGCTCAAGGACTTGCGTCGCAGGGCAGCGACGCAACAACAGGCGTTCCTCGCCCTCCAAGTCGGAGTGCCGGACAAATCGCTCTGGAAATGGTGATCGACGATGCTGGAGACTGGAAGGTGCGTATAAACCCTTGTTGCCCTTTCCTCTCATGCTCTATTCCCTCATGCAGTCTTCCCACCAGCTCTGTTCCCCGTAGATTTGCCACTCCTGCTCTGTCCCTTCCTGTGCGCTCCTCTCCTGCTCTGTCCCCTCCAGTGCTCTCCCTTCCTGCCTTGTCTCGCTGCTCCTCTGCACTCACCATGCCATGCCCTGTAATGGTCTCCACCACGTACATTTTGTGTTGCCCCACCCTTCCATCTACTCATACATTCTTTTCCTGGCAGGCGAAGTGCCGGAGTGTCATCACCGAGTTCTTCTGGCTGAATGACGCTCGTCACATCCAGATGTATCCTTCGAGTGAAGAGGCGATGGCTGGGTTATCTACTTATCTGTCCCCTGATACCATGCCCCACTTGCAACTGCGGTGGAAACAACAATGCCCAACAACAAAGGGGGCATTCTATACAGCATGCAGCAATACCCGGTGCGCAATTGGCAAAATACTCCGTCGATTGGTTCTAACTGCATTGGGGCGGGAGAAAAACAAGGGGAAGGTGATGTCCCTCCGGTGGAGTTGGATCGTCCGGCGGTGTATCGGAACGATGCCGAACTGGTCCGGGACAACATGACTGGTGAGCTCCTAACCCTTGCTCTCTCCCCCCCTCCTCTGTCACATGCTCTCTCCCCCCCTCCTCCTGTCATATGCTCTCTCCCCCCTACCTCTGTCACATGCTCTCTCCCCCCCCTCCTCTGTCACATGCTCTCTCCCCCCTCCTCCTGTCACATGCTCTCTTCCCCCCCTCCTCCGTCACGTGCTCTCTCTCCCCCTTCTCTGTCACATGCTCTCTCCCCCCCTCCTCTGTCACATGCTCTCTCCCCTCCTCTGTGACATGCTCTCTCCCTTCCTTCTGTCACGTGCTCTGTCCCCTCCTCTGTCACATGCTCTGTCCCCTCCTCTGTCACATGCTCTGTCCCCTCCTCTGTCACATGCTCTGTCCCCTCCTCTGTCACATGCTCTGTCCCCTCCTCTGTCACATTCTGTCCCCTCCTCTGTCACATTCTGTCCCCTCCTCTGTCACATTCTGTCCCCTCCTCTGTCACATTCTGTCCCCTCCTCTGTCACATTCTGTCCCCTCCTCTGTCACATTCTGTCCCCTCCTCTGTCACATGCTCTGTCCCCTCCTCTGTCACATGCTCTGTCCCCTCCTCTGTCACATGATCTGTCCCCTCCTCTGTCACATGCTCTGTCCCCTCCTGCTCTGACCACTCCCGTGCTCTCCCCTCCTGCTCTGTCCCATCCCGTGCTTTTACCTCCTGATCTGTCCTTCCCTTGCTCTCCCTCCTGCTCTGTCCCCTCCTTTGTCACATGCTCTGTCCCCTCCTCTGTCACATGCTCTGTCCCCTCCTCTGTCACATGCTCTGCCCCTCCTCTGTCACATTCTGTCCCCTCCTCTGTCACATTCTGTCCCCTCCTCTGTCACATTCTATCCCCTCCTCTGTCACATTCTGTCCCCTCCTCTGTCCCATGCTCTGTCCCCTCCTCTGTCACATGCTCTGTCCCCTCCTCTGTCACATGCTCTGTCCCCTCCTGCTCTGACCTCTCCCGTGCTCTCCCCTCCTGCTCTGTCCCATCCCGTGCTTTTACCTCCTGATCTGTCCTTCCCTTGCTCTCCCCTCCTGCTCTGTCCCCTCCCTTGCTCTCCCCTCATGCTCTGTCTCCTCCCATGCTCTCCCCTCCTGCGCTGTCCCTTCCCGTGCTCTCACCTCCTCTATCACATGCTCTGTCCCCTTCTCTGTCCCCTCGTCTGTCACATGCTCTGGCAGATGAGTGGGGGCTGAAATGGCATGTTGACCAGATCACGCAGCGCCCATTCTCCACGAAATTGTTTGCGATCGCCATGAGCAAGGCGTTTCGAAGGCGCCGCGTCGATGTCACAGCGTGGAAGACACGCATGGTGGCATTCGCCTTGTTTTCAGTAAGTGTTTTTTCATTATATCCAACGGTTAGGTTTCAATATCAACATGTTAATGCTGTTGCGCCTTGCTCATGTGTTCAGCTCGAGAACCCACTGTTGGAGCAGCAGGGGATGGCAAGCTGGGCACGGGACCAGCGTGAAAACCGCAGGTTGTACGAGCTAACGTGCATCAGGGTTCGACGTTGGGTGGAGCACTCTGTGAATGTGCTGGGCGTCACGCATGATGTGACAACAAACGCGTGGGTGTTCGAAACGGGGTCCGTATTGATGCGTCGGATTACCCTGCACTATTGCCTGTTTGAATTTCTGGTTAGTAAGAATGGTAATAAATGCACCGATCCTTAAAGCAGTAATATGGGCAATAATAGTTTCTGTGTTCTGATATTAATAATTATATGGGCAGAACAATTATGACAGAAACAGCAACAGTAATAACAGCTGAACTATTATATGCAAAACAATAAAAAACAATTGTAAACCGAATTGAGAAATCAGCACAAGAAAAATATTTATATCGAACATAGATTTAATAGAAACTACTATACAAAAAACGAATGGTGTACATTATTACATTTATTGGCCCCGAGGCGCGATTTCCGACGCGGAATGTGGCGTTACCATCACACCCATTTCGGCCAGTTACCAGCTGGAGCGCAGGCTGAAACCGAACCCCTGAACCCATCCTATGATAGGCCTGCAATCCACGAGAAAACCAGTCACGTTAGTGCCATGTGTTCAGGCGGAAATCGACCCTGGTTTTCAGTCAGATTTCCGCCGCGAGTCTTGAACTCTGGCTGGAAACCAGCTGAAATCCAGACCGGAAGATTGTGATGGAGGCAGCAGTAGCTAGTGGGGAGCAACAACTAGCAGAGGTGGGGTGGGGGGAGTGATAGGAGTAGAGAATTGTGAGGTGAGACAGAGGTGGGCGGGAAATTGCAGGAGTAGAGAGGTGAGTTGGATAGGTGCGGTGCTGAACCCCCGGCACAGGCAGGCAGCAGCCGCAGAGGTGGGGTGGGGAGCAACAACCCGCAGAGGTGGGGTGGGGGGAGTGACGAAGTGGGGAGAGAGGTTGGGGAATGAGGGGCAGAGGTGGGGTGGAGGAATGAAGGGCGGAGGTGGGGTGGGGGGGATGGCTTATCAGTACAGGCGCAATGAGGGAAAGTGGTGTGATGAGGTAGGGTGCGGGTGGCAATGGGTAGGAGTAGATGTGGGGTGGTGTGCAACAACCTGAAACGGTGCTGAGGTTACTAGAACTGAGATCCGTTCCTTCTTTACTCAGCTCCTCCCCCCTTGTCTTGTCTTGCTTCAGATCGAGAGTGAGACTGTGCTGATGATACAGCAGTCGTGTGCTGAAGTCTCACCTCCCCCTGCTGTTTCCCCCTTCCCCCTCCCCCATTGACCACCCCTCTCAGGACGAGAGTGAGACGGTGCTGATGATACGGGAGCTGCTAAAGACTGATTCGTAGCTCCACTCCTCTGGTTGCGCTTCTTTCTCAATTGAACTCACTCCTCCCCCCTACGCACACGCACCTTTTCTGCATCAGGACAAGAGTGAGACGGTGCTGATGATAAGGGAGGTGGTGGAAACACGCATGCGATGCGAAACCGACTGATGGGAGACAGATGGGAGACTGATGGGAGATGATTCCAGTAACTCCTCCTCCTCCCCTTTTCTCCTTTCTTCTCGCCCCCCAAACACTCACTGGCGTCAGGATGAGAGCGAGACTGTGCTGATGATAAGGGAGCTGTTGGAGACGCGCATTCGACTGGCAGTGCAGGAGGACGGAGGGGACATTGACTTAATTGACTTTGACGAGAGAGTTTGACTTTCTTGACTTTGACGAGTGAGCTCTTCATGTCAATCTCTTGCCACGTCACCCTCTTGCCACATCACCCTCTTGCAGTGCCTGCCTATACATATACTCAAGCTTTACCACCTGTAAACCTCAAATCAAAACCATGTCTCCCACTCACTAACCACCAGGGCCACATTGATAGTGTATCCATGCATCCAGGGTTCCTGCAGTGCCTACGCAAGCATATTTTTTATGCCTTAGCCAAGCATGATCCCACGTCCATGTCACGTTGCTTACCATCCACCCACCAGGCCCATGGAGATCGTGTATCTGCGCATCCAGGGTACTTGCAGTGCCTGCTCAGGCCTTTTTCTTATGCCTCACCAAGCATATTCCCACGTCCATGTCACCTTGCTCACCATTCTCGCCACGGGGATCGTGTATGTGCGCATGAAAGGTGCTTGCAGTGGCTGCCCAAGCCATGGCGCCCTTCTCAATCCAACCCTGATTGTTGTGCCCTCCCTCCCCTCACTGCCACCCACCCCTTAGGGCCACGGGAATTGTGTATCTGCGCATGAAGGGTGCTTGCAGTGGCTGCCCATTGCGATGCTTCTTTAGCCTTTTCCCAATCCCTATGTCACCCTCTTCCCCACCCACCAAAGGCACGGGAATCGTCTGTACCTGTCTAATGCATGGGGAAGGGGAAGGGGGGGGCTCTAGAAGGCCCGTTGCTTGTGATGTGGTGAGCTTGTGGCAGTGCTTCCGTGTGTGTGTGTGTTGTGTCTGTGTGCCTGTGTTCTTTTTGAAAACACCTCCGCGAGGGAGGTGTGGTGGGTAGGAAATGGAAGGCAAGAGATGGGCATGGGCTGCAATGATAGAAGCGGGTAGGAAAGAAAATTGACGGTTTCTGCTTTGCTTGTGCTTTCTTCACATCTCAGGGTTGGTGGTCTGTCATAGTTCAATTTGTGGTTCAATTTCAAAATTTTCAGACTTCTTTACCAACCAGGTTACTATAGAGACGAGGCAACAAAATGTCCCATACCCCTTCGTAGCTTAGCACAGGCTTTATTGGCCAGCTCCCAATTTTTTCCTAATATTTTCAAACCAGCCGGTTGTCCATTGTCACTTTATTTGGGGGAAGTTCAGCAATTGTTGGTTGGGTATGGGTTCTTTTGAGATGGCTGAGCGTGCTCCTGCACCCACGTATCAAGCGAACCTCATATCAGGCTCACCCGAAATCCTTGGCTAGTTTTACCAGGCAAGTCTGATACGAGGTTGCCTGATATGAGGTTCAGAATGACGACCGGGCTTCTTCTTTTCCTCTAGCCTATGCTCATTAATTCTAAGTTTGTTGAAAGACGTCCAATAACAAGTACAAGCACCGGCTACAGTCACTCTGCCTCTTCAATAACCTCCTTCACCGAATTAACCTGCATCCGGAAACACAGGCAAAAACGGGCAGACCAGGGCAGACACAGACAAACACAGGCAGAGACAGGCAGAGACAAGGGCAGACACGGGAAGACAAAGGCAACATGGGCAGACAAGGGCAGACACGGACAGACAAGGGCAACTCGGGTAGACAAGGGCAACACGGACAGACAAGGGCAACATGGGCAGACAAGGGCAACACGGGCAGACAAGGTCAACACGGGCAGTTGGCTCATTCAGTTGGCATTCGCCGCATCTCCCTGTGAAGAAGGACCAAGCCGCCCTACCGCCCTCCTCTGCTCCTCCATTGCACGTCTGCTGGCCACTTTTCGAATCAAATGCCGGGCACAGCACTACTGGCAGCGGTGGGCTTAAGGGCTGCGCCCGAGGTGCCCAAGACCTACTGTGAGGAGCACGGCATCTGCCAGACGTTTACGCTCCCGGCCTCTCCGCAGCAGAATGGGTTGCTGAGCGCTGCATTGGCTTAGTGATGGAGGTCGCTCGTACCTCCATGATCCATGCGGCTGCCCCCCATTTTCTGTGGCTGTTTGCGGTCTGTTACGCCGCGCATCAACTCAACCTTTTGGAAAAGAAATCCTCGGCAAAAACAGACTCGACTAGGAAAAAATCAGAACTCGTTAAAGTTATCTTTCAAAGATGCTTTAATGAAGATTGATGATTTCGCGGGTCCGGAGCCACAAACAAATTCCGGGAAGAACTCCAGAGGAAGCAGACAATTAAAGAAGTGGAATCGGTGCCTACAGAGCTGGGGAAAAAATTAAGGAGTGTGGAAAGGAGCAGGCCTTTTTCACGACGTCAACGTCCTCTCCCGGAACCAGCCCAAGACGACTCTCCACTCCATAAGGAAGAAGTCTATGGAGCTGAAGCAGCTGAGGAGGCAGCTGGGAGTTGAAATAAAGCTGCGGAAACTCTTGAAAATCCCTCCAGGATGCATCCAGTGGATCGCGAGCATCGACCGGATCCACCCCCTCAGGTTCAACCAGTACGGTTACTACCTCTACTCCTGGCATTGGAGAGGAGCCCTTCTCCACGCAGTCCAGGCCGGCTGTTAGTCCAGGGGCAAACAGTGGAACCACGGTGTGTACTGAATATTGGGATGTACCCTTTGATCCTATTAATGAGACTATTTTTGGGTACTCTAAGCAACGCTCGCCAATCCTGCTCGAGGTGATCTGCAACGGACTGTGCCTCCAAGCACTCGCGGATAGCGGGGCATCGCACAACGTCTATGACAAAAAGGCAATCGATCGACTCAGAGGTGAAATCAAGTCCTCAAGCTTCTCTGCAACGATGGTGGATGGCAGTAAGCTACCCATCTATGGGGAAACACGGTTACTACAACAGATTGGACCCCTGTGATGGAAGCTTGCTCTCCTCGTCACAAATATTAAAGGACTCGACGTAATCTTGGGGAGAGACTTTTAAAAAAATTCAACCCCGAGATCAACTGGGTTAACCGGACGGCCAACATCATCAACAACAGGAGGAAAATCAGCCTTCCCAAATGGGACGACACGGGAAATATTATAGTCGAGACACTCGCACGCTTTGAAAAGGACGTCAAACGGACCACAGCGGGATTTATGGCGATAGTCAACGAAGCAGACAGCGGAGAGAAGCAGATCCATGAACTCCCTCCAGCAGTCAAGAAAATTCTTGAAGAGTTCCAGGACGATCTCCCCGACGATTTACCTGATCAACCACCGCCATACCAAACACACCAACACGAGATCGTAGAAGAGCCGGGGTTTAAGTCGATGTTCCGAGCACCATACCGCCTGAGCCCAACAGAGCTTGCCGATATGAAAAAACAAATAGAGTATCTCCTGGAGAAAGGGCTGATTCGACCTTCGACTTCGCCGTACGGAGCTCCAGTTCTCTTCACTCCGAAGCCGGACGGAAGTCTGCGAATGTGCATCAACTACCGAGCCTTGAACAAGCAGACTTTAAAAAATAAATACCCGATACCATGGATCGACGACTTACTCGATCAACTTCGCGGTGCTACGGTATTCTCCAAGCTCGACCTCAGATCGGGATTCTGGCAAATTCGTATGGCGGACAACTCTATCCACAAAACTGCCTTCCGAACTCGATATGGGTCGTACGAGTATCTCGTGATGCCGTTCGGACTCACTAACGCACCAGCCACATTTCAGGCGGAAATGAACCACATCCTTCGGCCCCTTATGGACGAGTGCGTGGTGGTATATTTGGACGACATCCTAATCTACTCGAAAGACATGAAGCAGTACGTTGAGCATCTGCGACGCGTGTTTGAAATTCTTCGACGAGAACGCTTCTACGCGAAACTATCCAAGAGCGAGTTTGCGTTGAAGAAAGTCCAGTTCCTTGGACATATGGTGAGTGCTCAAGGAGTTCAATGTCGAACTTATATGCTATAGTCTTTCTAGGCTGTAGTGGGGTAGACAGTATGGGGTACAACTTTCTAGGGTTTCATATTTGTACCCAACTCATTTCCTAGTTCATCATTCATTCCTCATCTATTCACATGGTATAGAGCAGGTTCCCTAGTGGGAACTTTTACTTGGGCCCACCACTAAATTTTTTTTCTGCCCTGAGATCGAATCGCCCCTGACCGAGGCGTGCCCTGTGGAGCGCCCTCCCCTTAGCGGCCCGTCGCGCCGCCCTTAGCGGCCCCACTCACGGCCCCCCACTCACGGCCCCGTCGCCACCCTTAGCGGCCCCGTCGCCACCCGTTGCGGCCCGGCCACCCTCTAGCGGCCCCCGTCGCCGCCTCCGCGCCCACCCGCCACCCTTCGCGGCCGCGTCGCCGCCCTTTCGCGGCCCCGTTGCCGCCCTCCAAGCGGCCTCGTCGCCGTCCTCTCGCGGCCCCCGCCGCCGCTCTTCAGCGGCCCGTCGCCCTTTTTATAGCGGCCCCATCGCCGCCCTCTAGCGGCCCCACCGCCGCCCCTCAGCGGCCCCGTCACCGCCCTTCCGCGGCCCCGTCGCCGCCCTCTAGCCGCCCAGCCGCCGCCCTTCAGCGGCCCCATCGCCGCCCTACCGCGGCCCCGTCGCCGCCCTCTAGCGGCCCCGCCGCAACCCTTCAGCGGCCCCGTCGCCGCCCTACCGCGTCCCCGTCACCGCCCTCCAGCGGCCCCGCCACCGCCCTCCAGCGGCCTTGTCGCCG